ACGAGATTGGTGGATCGTCTGGCGAACCTATGGAATTTGATGGCAAACCGACAGCCACATCAGCTAGTCGTTGCGAAGAATGTATTATTGGTCCATCCGAGAGGAAATCAGGCAACATTTTTGCATTGCTTGCGGTAGCCTCAGCTGTGGCACCTCCTCCTCCAACGCAAGCGCTTACTCCACCATATGCTTGTGAGGGACCGGGTATACCATTGCCGCCGCTTACATCATTTCCACCAGTCACATCGCAGCCGCCACCATTGCCAACACCGCCGCCGATGGCACCGCCTGCTACATCGACATCACTAAAATCGCGTGTAGGCGAGTTAGGCGGGGAATTGAGATGCATATCATGTGCATACCACGACTCTAGCCAATGATCTTGCACAAAGTCGGGCAGCACACCGGCGGGGAATTCACCTGCATTGCTGGGTAGTGGACGGGTAACCGGCGGTGCGGCAGCTACAGAGTTACCACCGTACGCGCCGCTGCTCATATCACCAAGTGGCAAGTTGACCTTCGATTTGGACGAATTTGTGTTTAAGGCCAGGCGTGTGGGTCGCGCGTCCCTCGTGCCACCACCACTAACACCACTGATGTTTGTAACTGCTGCGCGGCGCCGTGGCGAAGCCGATGTGGACGACATAGGCATTTCATAATTTGAATATGATCGTGGTACGTATTGGTGTCGATCGTATTCGCCTGTATTACTTGCACCCGTACCGCCATCGCCCATGCCGCGGCTTATACGTGTGGACGACGAGAAGAAATCTGCAATTTATTTTAATAAGAAATAAGAAATATAATATAAATGGTGATAAATAGGCAGTTACCACTGCTCTCTGGGTAGAGTCGAAAACCGGAGCTGGCATTGGCGCCCACACCTACTCCCCTTACTGCACTTGATCCATTGCTACCTATACCCTCTATTTCCGCATCCGCACCCACTGTCACGTATTCTGCCAGACTCGCCTGCGAGTCGAATGAGGAAAATCGTGGTGAACGTTTCATTTTTGTTGATGATGTGCCATCCTGCGGGCCTACGCCTGCTGTTGCTGACAAGCCACCACTACCGCCGGCTATTAGTGACGATATTGCCGTACTTGACAGCGAAGCTGACTGAGGAACTTTTGGACGTGCGCCAGTCGAAGTTTGATTTGAGGCACCGCTATGGGATGCTGTGGCGTTATTGCTTTGAGAGCCGTTGGCGCAATTGGACGCTGTAGAATCTAATGTTGTGACTGTAACAGTGCTTGAAGGCGCTGTAAGCGGCGGACCGCTGCTCAGAAAATGTTTGAAAGAAAAAGAAGATGTATTCTGTGTCGGTGCCACATGTGGTTGTGAAACAGACTGTGTAGTGGTACTGCTGTTGGCAGATTCCCACGTTGAGCCAGCATTTATTTGTTGCGTCGTGGCTGATAAATTAGAAAACGGTTAAAAATAGGTATGTGATTATACAAACGCGGCTTTTGCCCCTTACCATTTACATGAGCTGTTGTTCGCTCGGTTGTGTAATCCCCATAACCATCTTTGTTGTCATTGCCTCCCATCGGCCCGTTGATACAAAGATCAGCTACTAGATCGTTAAGTTTGCCGCGCATAAATGTTGTCGTCGTCGTCGCGAACTGACTGCTTCCAGAGCTGGCACTGGCACAATCGCCACCGCCTGCGCTGTTGACCTTGTTCTTGTCACCATTTTCCACTGCGCCACCGTCTACTCTCATCTCAGCTGCACAATCTGTCAGCGCATTTGTCGCTTCTCCTGCATTCGACGTCAACGTCACACCTACGCTTACGGGAAGGGAATCCAAGCTGTTGTTGTTGGTGCCATTGCCACTACAGCTGTTGTTGTTGTTATGTTGCACCTCATCGTTTTCCTTTGCCATAGTTCGTCTTTATATTTGTGTAACGCTGTGTTGTTTCTGCTACGTTGCTTTGCCTGCCGTTGTCCCGTCTGCAGTTTTTTCTATCAGTTACAATGGTATTCTTCCTCTTTGTTAAGTTTTTACAGCCACTGCCTGCAATTATTGTACATTAACTTGCTCTACTCTTTACGTAGTTCCTTTCCTCATAAGTATATTTTATTATTACACAGCTATGGTAAACAAAAGACTGCAATTAGACCAGGTTCTTTTCAAAGTTTACAGAAATTTTCAAGAATTGTTAATTTTCCTCAATCTGAAAGGCCCTTCAAGTGGAGTTGCCAGATCTGTCGGTTGCGATGGTTTCTGTGGATTATACATGGAGAGGTGCCAGACCCGTTTGTTGCGAAATGTGTAATTTCAGTGTATTTACAACGGCAGCGCGAATTGCATTTTTCACCACATTTTTAAGGGGAAAGAATGAAATCAATTTTGAGTAAATTAGCGTCCTTAAATTTCGAATTATTGAAGCTTCCAGCATTTCTGAAATTTACCGTTATATAAAAAGCGGCCGTAATTTTAGTCCGATTTCAATAATTTTCAACGTTTTGCTTTTATTTGGCAAGCACAATAAAAATACCGAGTCTGGTACAAATTGATAGAACGGTTACCGATATACATATATGTGATCATAAGTGGGCGGTGCCACGCCCATTTTCCAAAAATTTATAATATTCTTATTTTTCGTCTGAAAATTATTACAAATACTAATTTTGAGTGAATTATCTTCAGTAGTTACTAAAATATCGCAGTTTTCGTATTTCTTGAAATTACCGTTATATGGGAAGTGCGCGTGGTTACTGTTCGATTTCGCCCATTTTCAATACCAACCTATCTTGGATTAACAGAAACCTACATACCAAATTTCGTTGAGATATCTCAATTTTTGCTCGAGTTATCGTGTACACGGACGGACGGACAGACGGACAGACAGACATGGCTTAATCGATTTCTCTATTCATTCTGAGCATATATGTATACATTTGTCTATATCTATCTCGATTCGTTTTGGCTGTTACAATCAACCGTTATGTGAACAAAATTAAAATACCCTTGTGCACAAGTGCGCTCGGGTATAAAAATGTTATCTACAATGGAATTAAAAATGGAAAAGGGTCTTCAGAAGCTAGTTAGTTATATTGTTCTCTTGAAGACGACTTGTTGATAGTGAAATTGATTCTCAAATTGAATGCAGCCTTAGTAATGACTTTCAATTTTGATAATTTTTGACAAGCAATGTGTGTGAGGAAATAAAAAGGCAAAACTGATTGTGTGTCGGTAGCGTTAAATATAATACTGCGCCATAAAATCTGTATCGTGCATTCGATTTAAAAAAAATGAGGTGTCAATTGAAAGGGTTTCTCCTTTGGGTGTGCAACATACCCTGCAAGAACTGTGTCAGCCTGTTGACCATTAACCTGACGTTCGGAAATGAAATTAATTTGTCAGTACGTAGAACAAAACTTATATCAGTTTCAGAGCACTATGCGAAAACTGATGTAAACAAATGTATACGTATAATTTTTCCTCTTGCTCTAACGCATTGAAATTTCCGAAAAGCCAAACATATATCTTCACTACTCACTCTCATTCATTTTATTGTGTCAGCGCTGATTGCAAATTTATCAGGGAAGATAAACGTCATTGGTTATGTTTTAGTCCGTCCCAATCCACCAGATACGACAATCGTCATTGTTGTTGTATTAGCCCGTCACAATCTATCAGATATGACGAATGTCATTACTGATGTATTAACACGTCACAAATGATACTTTCTTTTGTTCTTTAACAAATATTATACTTTTATTTTTTCGTGAAATATGTACATGTATGTATTTATCTTAACACTTTAAAGCTATACTAAACGCTCAATCAATTTATTTAAATAATTGAATGTATAACGGCCCGGTAAGAATCAAAATAGAATTCCTGCCTTTGTGAACGTTCACGCTCATGCTCGCATTGAATTGTATATCAAGCTTAAAGGGGTCTGTTACACGGTCAGTAATTATCGCGATCCATATTGATGGATTGATGGATCGCGCACGAATGCTACATGTTCAATATTATCGCTTCAGTTTTTTCATAATTTTTGTGCTGAACGCTTATTACGGCGGAAGAAAATATTTTTATCTTGTACGTAGAGTTTACAGATAATGCATTTCACAATTATTTTAAAATTTATTTTGGAAGACTTTAATCTCCGAGAGCGAAGGCAGAGCCGATGATCGCATTTTGGGAGCAAAAGATGTATTGACGAAATGTATGGATCGCGTTTTGAAAGTCCTACACATTCAGTATTTATTGACGGTATTGCGATCCGCGATCCAGATTTCAAAATTTTTAGAAATTTTGCGATATGGATCGCGATCCATCAATCCTGCATGCTACATCGTCAATAAATATCGCGATACTTGGATCACGTCAATAAATAATGACCGTGTGACAGGGCTTTCAGCACAAAAATTATGCAAATACTGACGCGATAAATATTGAACATGTAGCATTCGTGCGCGATCCATCAATCCATCAATATGGATCGCGATCCAATGATCGTGATAATTACTGACCGTGTGACAGAGCATAAAGGGGTAATATCGCGCGCACCTGAATTTCCACCAGGGTAGCCAACTCGTGGTGAGTTCCCCGATTTGCGCGGGAATCAGGGAATGGACTGTTTTTTGTGCGGAATTTCAGTTTACGTGGGGAATCGGGGGATGAATTGATTTTTTTGTGGGGAATAAAGTGTGTTTAATTTTCTTCTTTTTTGCTTTACTAATTTTATAATGAGTTAAAAAAGTTGCATAAGAAATACAACTGCAACTAAAAGTACTGATTTTGCAACCCTGCCGATTATGCAAATATATGTTTTTTTTTTTGAATAAAAATGTGTTTTTATATGGAAGAAAACCGCAACCAACACCAAACAAAGTTCTAAAAGGAAAATTTTTAGTGGCTTGAAACTTGCATTTATATATACTAGAACTGAGTGTGCTACAATCCTGCATACCCAAAATCTTTTGGGAAATTTCAAAGTCGAAATCGGGAAATTCCCAAAATGAGTTGGCTACCCTGATTTCCACCCACTTCCATTCACAATCAAATAATTGGAAATGTGACTCTGATAATTAAAAAAGAAGTAGAAAATAAACAAAAACAGCTGGTTATAAAAGTTTTAAAACAATACAAGTTAAATTCTCCGCAAGAACTCTTTCCAAAAATGAAAGTGGTACATTATACTCCCGCGAAGGAAGAGCTACTGCCAACTCGTAAAATTATGTGCACTTATCCGAACTGCGATTCCACCTTCACGAATGTCGGTAATCTGGATATGCACCTAAAACGCCATCATGGCAAACAACCTACCAAAAGCCTTGATCTAAGTGAAAAAGAATGCCTTTTTCACTGCCCCCAGTTGGAATGTACGTACCACGAAGCACATACTAGTAAAATGCACTTTAAAACATTGAAATACCTACGTCAGCACTATCAGAAAGTGCATGTAGCCAAAACCAATATCTGCAATCAGTGTGGCAAAGCTTTTATCAGCAGCAGTCAGCTGAAAGTGCATATGGAAAGGATGTGTGGAGTTAAATATACTTGCAGAGAGTGTGGTTGGGTATATAGTTCCATGGAAGCATTACAGACTCACGGAAAACGGAAAGAGCATAAGGTACGGGATGACCGAGTAATCGAAAAGAAAGCTCCATCGACAAGAAAAAGACATGCGGCGGAAGTGCGAAACGAAAATAATGACCAAGAAACACAAACTGATGGTAAATACTCTTAATTGTAAAATCAATGTAACTTATGATTCTATCATTCCATTTGACAGTACCGCCAGCAGCAAAATGTGTTGGTGAAACCAATATTCAGGCAGGAACTAGTAAAACTTGTACGAAATCTACACATGATAAAAATGTTTCGACGGATACACAACCACTGAATGATATAGCAGAGCCAAGAAATATAGAAACTCAAACCGAAAATCAAATGATAAGATCATTACGCCAAACTACCTTCAACACCTCAACTCCTACAATGCATTCCTCGTTGGCAACTTCACAATTGCTTCCTCCCTCAACCCATACGTACACTCAAACATACGACGATCTTTTCGCAGATTCTTTGCTAGGTTTGACGGACATACAAACGCAAACCAATTGGTCCAGCTTCACTGATGCTGCAGCAACGGCTGAAGAGTTTTCTTCACATGCATATAATACATCTAGTGCAGGCACATGCACACGATGCGCCTATGATGAGCTGCTGGTTTCTACAGAAACTCAAACTAGTTTTACGCAGTGTTTGCTGGAATCACGCACTACTACCGGCGATAGTGAAGATGGTACATTTAGCAATCTATATCAAACACAGCAAACACAAACATGTGACATGTTACTTGGCGCACTCTTTGGTGCACAGGAGAGTGATCTACTTAGTGGTTATCACTCAACGTATACGCAAACATGATGGTTCGATTTGGATTTACACACAATTGATGGGGAAGAGGATGAAAGAGGTAACAATTTGGGTGATTAGGAAGCATAAGCGGTGGGATTTGGATTGAATCGCCATACAACTGTTATATACCCGATAGGGGCGTTAATGATATGCGTAAGCATACAAATTAGGCATGTAAGTTTAGTACTACATACGGAAAGAAAATACTAAAAAAGATTATTGTATAATGATGTCACAAAATAGTACGTAAAGTAGTGCACATTCTATGCCCACATACATATGTATATACGCACATGCACACATTTAGTTGGAAAAATAAATTTATTATTTATTTATTTATTTATAAAAGGCTTGCATAACAAAGTAAAAGTCTGTTCTGCCTGTTCCAAGTTAGATAAGGAAGCAAAGCGAATGGGTCTGGTGGTAAACGAGGACAAGACGAAGTATCTCCTGTTATCAAACAAACAGTCAGCACATTCGCGCCTTGGCACCCACGTCACTGTTGACAGTTATAATTTCGAGAATGTAAAGAATTTTGTTTACTTCGGAACCAGCATTAACACCGATAATAATGTCAGCATGGAAATCCAAGGCAGAGTCACTCTTGCCAACAAGTGCTACTTTGGACTGAGTAGGCAATTCAGGAGTAAAGTCCTCTCCCGACGTACGAAAACCACACTCTATAAGTCACTCATCATGCCCGTACTGGTATATGGCGCAGAAGCATGGACAATGACAACATCCGATGAGGCGGCTCTTGGAGTATTCGAGAGAAAGATTTTGCGGAAGATTTACGGGCCTTTACACCTTGGCGACGGCGAGTACCACAGACGATGGAACGATGAGCTGTATGAGCTTTACAACGACATCGACATAGTGCAGCGAATTAAAATACAGCAGCTCTGCTCGCTTGGCCATGTCGTTCTAATGGACACCGATGCTCCAGCTCTGAAAGTATTTAACGCGGAACCCGCTGGTGTAGCAGAGGAAGAGGGAGGCCCCCACTGCGATGCAAAGACCAGGTGGAGAAGGACTGGGTTTCACTTGGCATTTGCAATTGGCGTCAGTTGGTACAGAAATGGCGTGCTTTCTTGAACTCTGCCAAAATCGCTTAGGCCGTTACAGTGCCAAATGTTATGTTTTATGAATTTGGATGTATGTATATCTATAGACTATACGTAGTTTAATGGGAATCGGAGAAGCTTTTTTTGTCTAACTTTGACTACTGAAAAATATTGACGAAAATACAAATGAAAACGTCTGTTAATTTAACTGATTCCCTTTAATAGGTGCAGAAAATAATAGGAATTGCCGCAAGTAAAATCGAAAGCATTTTAAATATATTTCCAGAAATTAAATAGGGAATATGGGTCAAAAAGCTATTGCCTCAACTACGTAAATGTGAAGTTCGAAGAAATCCAAGATATAAAATTAATATAACAGTATGCAGGAAACTTATTATGGTTTCAATAGATAAAAAAATACGTTCCAATAATTGTAAAGGTAGTGCGTTTGTAGATTCCCACCTTCATTCGAGAGAGGGGAGTACGTCGGTCTAGCGCCCAATGACATTTTATGGAAGAAATTAGTTCAAATTTCTAATATGAAAAATATGACAAGAATTATGAATTTGACGATAGCTAGATAAAGTGTTAATTTTTCGTAGGGGCTTTTCTAAATGTAATGTAAAATGTTTAAGAGAATATATAATAGGGGTATTCTCGCAGTCTTTCAAAGCCCTTGCACGGTTTGCAAAGCTGTCCCATACGAAAACCGGTTGTTATCGTGCAATTGGTGCACTGTGCAAAGGCTTTGCAAGACTCGAGAGAATACCCCTAATGTGATTTTGTTAATTTCTTCCTCTTGACCACTTTTCTTTGGAATTGTTTATTTTTCAAAATGAAAAGGAAGCTTCTCCCATGCCTACAAGTAAATATATTAGCACGGTAAAAGAAAAAAAACTAAAAATGCATCTGATCAAAAAATCTAGTGATTGTAGCTAATGTACCTTTAGGTCAGCAAACGTCGCAAAAAGGTACAACTGTACCCACTTTTTCATCCCTGGTGACCACCCTTTAATAGATGAACGCAGATGAATTTTTGTTATGATAGTAGTAGAGTAAGCCGTAGTAGAGTTTTGTTCTCCATTTAGATCTATTACCAAGCCTTGCTTTTTCCCTTCCGGAATCGGTTATTGACTAAAAATGCACTACCGGAATAGATCATTGACCAAAAATTCACCGATTAAAGTGAGTACACGTTTTTTCGGTGACCTTGCTAACTTCAATTGCATATTAGTATATTACGCATGGATCAATTTCAATTAAATTTTGCTTTGGGATGCTCAATTTAAAAAGCGATAACGAGAACAAATTATTCGGAATTTGACGATTATTGTGTTTTAGGCATTATTGGCATCTTTTTTAATGATGGCAACTCTACATACGCTTATAAACGAAAAAGCCACAAAGAGAAACGCATAAACAAAACAAACCGCGATGTGTAGCAAAAAGATAAGAAAATATACAAGAAAACTCGTTGTACGACAAGAAAAAAACTGCATGCAAACATAAAAGAAAATTGGCTTTTGGTACTTTTTCCAAGTAGAAGAACGAAATAAAAATCGCTTTCCGTGTGCAGTGAAAGAATAGAGGACGCCCGTTTGCACTTACGCATTATTGTTCGCTACTGCGTCGGGCGAAAGAGTTTTTCTTGACTTTGTGTATGTGTGAAAAAGGGGAGGGAATTGGTGTGGTTGGGATTGCGAGGAAAGTAGAAGCTCTGTCGTCGTCGTTGTCGACGACAGATTTCGAGAAATACTACAGAGAAGGTGAAATGCAGACGTGCCGGGATGCGAGTTCATAAGAATATTCTTGTTTAAAATAAAAGAATTAAGTTTTAAAAGTACTGTGTACACCATTTAACAGGCACTAAATGAGTGATTTTTGCTTTAATTGAAAAATAGACGTGAAAGTAAATAGTGTGGCGAATACTGCGGCAACACAAAGCGAACAACGAGAAATAGGCAGAATGTTCGAGGAATGACGTAGAATGTTCCACAAAGAGAAACGTCAAGTTGGATGAACACTGCGAACAGCGAGAGAAAGAGAATGAGCGATAAACTTCAGAACGTTCTGGAGTTGCCATAAGTGTGAGCGCAGGTATATAAGAGCCACGACACAGCGGAGTGGAGACAGTTGCAAGTCAGCAAGCTACAAGTAAAGTGAGCAGAGAAGCGAATTGCGAATAAGCAAGCTATAAGTTTAATTGTGTGTAACAAGTTCAGTAAAGCGTTGTAATTGCCTTAACAAGTATTGTAGTATTTTTACTGTATTAGCAAGTATTGTAAAATTGTTTGTTGTACAATAAAGTTAATTGTACTACAATTCGGTCATCGTTAGCATTTATTTAACAATCCAGCGATACGAGCCCGAGTATATTTGGGAAATCCCTCAAGGTTTCGAGGATAATCGTAACAATAGCAAAGGTGTACCTGCATTGTAAAAGTGCGAACAACGGCGTTACCCTGGTAAAGGGGAGGCGTCGCCATACGGTAGCGTGAAAAACGCTGACATTACGGAAAATTTTGGAGCATAAGAAAAAATAAAATAAAAAAGACGGGTGAGGTCAAGTAGGCTGCCTTGGCTGGTTCCACGTACGGTCGATTGAAACGCAGTCAGGCAGTCTGCCGCGTACACGACTACGGAGGGTGAGGCTGCATCCAGGTGAGTTAAGTGCATTTTTCGACTATTCAACAATATTTGTGTATATTGTCGTGAAATTGCAGCGATAACTACGAACAAAGTATTGACCATTAAAATTCAATGCAATTCAACAAAGCAAAGAGTATAAAATAGAAAGCAGGCCATTGGTCAGTGATTGTTGGCTCTATATCCTGTTTGTGCTACGCCAGTTATGGTGAAAGGTGAATTCTAATAAAAAACTACATACATACATATTTGTGCAATGTCGATTCAATCACCATTTTCAATTATTTATTTAGTGTTTATAATGCTGTACATACAAGAAATTGGACGATGCTGAGTTCGCAATCAAAATCATTATCCTGTAATCTAATATGGGTGTGCCGGATATTTGTAAAATATAACTAAAAATTAACTTGCGCAGCAGCAGCAGTAGCAACCTGCGAATTTCACAAGGCATAAATAAACGCGAGTTGGGGAAGGAGGAGGAAAAAGGAAGTAGCTAGCAAGGCAAACATAAACCGGCAGACTATACTTGCCCTACCCCGCGAATCGCATTACTACATCGGTACACACGAACATACTGGCACACACTTAAAAGGTAAAAATCAATGTCTATGATCTTGATAAAAGTGATGTGCTTATTAATACTTTTCAAATTGCTAAAATTAGGAAATTTTAGTTATAAAAACCAAATATGGACGGCGTGCTATCCAATAGCTCTAGGAGTAAGTCGATATATTTGTACATACATACACTCAATCGCTATATGAAAAATTGTCGAATTGTATGTGCTGGTTTTATTACAAGGCGAGTGGTTGCGATGCATGATATGCTGTCTTTCAGTAATTTAGTGCCGTAATATATGTTGGACAATTAATTAGAATTCAATGCTATGTAGCTGAAATAGGTGGCTGCAGTACTTTATGAACTTTTTATTACGAAAAACATCAGATGATTTCGTAAAAGGGGGAAAAATTGTAGCATATGGCATATACGATGAGGGAAAATTTTGGAAGGTAGTGATAAAAAATCAGAAAACAGAACTGGGACACACCATTTGACCCCGCCATTATCAAAATATTAATGGGGAGGTTTCTTATTAACCTGATAATTGTCAGGGTCATCCTCCATCTATGTATCTACATAGGGGTGGCCTAGACCACCCATCCACCCCCTAATTTAAGAAGTCTAGAAGGCACTTCCGAGAAAAGGTTTCAACCAAAACTATGTATTTTTTACCTTTAGAATACAAACCTGTAGCAAAAACATGCACTTACAATTTGAAAAATGGTTTAACCTCCTTCGAAACCGGATTTAGTGAGTCGAATTTTCGCGGTAAAAAAAAAATATTTTCCTTCATTTTAGAGAAAAAAAATAAGAATACATTTATAGAGCTAAGTAGTAATTATTCATTTCTTTTTCCAGAACAAAACTTAGAACATTTAGTGCTCTGAATGCGTTTGAACAACGTGAAGCGTTTTGCGTCTCGTCGCGCAATTAAAAACGGCGAATCCTACAGAAGAAGTTTAGTAGCCTGAAAAATTCAAATTGCCAATGCCGAATAACGTCATAAAGAGTAGCAGCGCCAGCGCCAGTAGTACCAGTAATGGGCGCAGCAGCAGCAGCAACAACAGTAGTAGCAGTAGTAGTGCCAATGCAAATCAAGCAAAATCAATTACTAGCCATAAAAATGAAACGAAAACGCCCACCGCTTCATCAACGACATCGTCGTTTGTAGCAACGTCCAACTCACTGCCAGACAAAAGCGTTATAGTTAAACAATCCAACAACAACGAACGCATTGCTGCACATCGGCGTGATGGTTCCAGTATTGCCGGAATACAACGACAGCCATTTCGTAAGCTTCAATATATTAGCCCGCAATCGAAGTTTCGTGATGCAGTAGCATCATTAGACACTGTAGGTGATGTGTCATTGAATGAAAGTCGTAGTGATTTGTTAGTCTATACCGAAGATGGACACTTGGTGTCGGCCAGTTTGGAGGCGCTCATCACACATATGGTGCCTACCAGCGAATATTATCCAGAACAAAATTTTATATTCGCATTTTTACTAAGCGCTCGCCTATTTGTGCGGCCGCATGAATTACTTGCGCAAATTTCTAAAACATGGGAACGTCAACAGCAAAAGCAGCAGCAACAGCACCAACAGGAACAGCAACAAGGCGTTGATGTTGTTGACGAGGCACATTTTAGCCATTTGGCTGTAGCCGCCTCCGCGTCTCCGCTAATGCAGCGCAAAACTGCAAACAATGCTGCTATTTTGCCACAAACAGTTGGTCATAATGAGGTAAATGTAATTGTCGAAGGCCACCTCAAGCAGCGCACCGCCATACAGCTGAGCGCACAAAATTGCATACGTTTGCTAGCCGAGTGGATTGAAACGTTTCCGTATGATTTTCGAGATGAGCGCCTAATGCAGCAGGTGCGTATATTGGCGCGCAAGTGTGTCTATATTGATAATGCACTCGGTAGGCGAGTGTCACGCATTCTACAGCTGTTGGTGCATCGTCTGACAGTGCTCGAGCAATATGAGGCAACATTGCAAACAATGGCAGCTACGGATCTCACCACAGGCAACAATCATCAACAATTACCGCACTACAACACTTCGGCGGGGGCGGCCACAACGGCTGTCAATCAAAGCGGTACGCACAACTCGCTGATAGGTTGTGTAAAAAGTCACACGCTACATACAAGCAGCATCGCAGAGACACACAAATCAAGCACAAACACGAACAATTCAAATTCATTGAGCTCCGGTGCGGTGGCTACTGTAGCAGCAGCCATAGATGGCAATAGCGCGCATGAAATACACGGCATCATGGATATCTGCCCGAGTTGTGCGCAGCTAGCGCATCAGCTGACCGCCATTGAGCTTGAGCGTTTGTCACACATTGGGCCGGAGGAATTTGTGCAAGCTTTCGCCAAGGAATACCAACATTCCATTGAGGGAAAGTCGACAGCACCAACAGGGACGAATGCCAGTAAGAGTTCGACGAACATTGAATCCGCGGCAACGTTGAATGATATGAAAAAAACACGCAATCTAGAATCGTACGTGGAGTGGTTTAACCGGCTGAGCTACCTGACTGCGTCGGAGATTGTAAAGGTATAAATAAATGAGTCCGGTCACCTTTTGAGTGTATGTTAATCCCATTGCAATCTTTTTAACTTTGTTCGTATCATTTGATAGTATCCGAAGAAGAAGCAGCGTGTACGCATTATCGAATATTGGATTGAGACGGCACGAGAGTGTTTCAACATAGGCAACTTTAACAGCTTGATGGCCATTATAGCTGGCTTGAATTTGGCGCCCATTTCGAGGCTTAAGAAAACGGTAGGCTCCTACATGCAGTAGGGCCAGTGAAAAATTAAATTAATCTTTTTTTTCATGTTCAAGTGGTCGAAAGTGCAATCTGCGAAATTCTCCGTGCTGGAACATCAAATGGATCCTACATCGAATTTCAATAGTTATCGCTCAACACTTAAAGCCGCTATGTGGCGTTCCGAGGGCGCTACCGAAGAACGTGAACGCATTATCATTCCATTTTTTAGTTTATTCGTTAAGGATCTATATTTTTTAAACGAGGGCTGTTCAAATCGGTAAATCAAATATATATATATAAAAAAAAACAAAGCAATTAAATATTTATAACTAAATCGAATTCATATCCTTGTATTCTACTCTCACCCACAGTTTGCCAAACAATCATATCAATTTTGAAAAATGTTCACAACTCGCCAAACAGGTGATGGAGTTCAACGAATGGAAGAAGGTTACTTGCCCATTTGAGCAGCTACCAAATGTGATTGCATATCTGCAAACTAGCAGTGTTCTAAATGAGAACACGCTATCGATGGCGTCTTTCGAATGCGAACCGCCTGAAAATACAGAGGAGAAGGGACGTTACAAAACGGTCAAAGCCGAAACGAAACAACAGTTATTAAATCAATTGCAAGAGCAACAACAACACCAACCATAGTTTATTGCAACAGTGTCGTAGTGTCGTAGCAAAAGGAAATAAGATATTTTTTCAGAGTAAATGTATGTTTGTACTAAAGGGGTAATTGTGGCGCAATCTATGGGTTATTTTTGATCGAATACTTAGAACTAGGTTAAAATTCTGTTGAACTAACATAATTTGCGCTGCAATGTGAATACCCTTAAAACCGTTATTTTTGTTTCTAGCATTTGTTGCAGAACGCTTGCCATTTTTTGATACCTACTTTGATATTTTCGAAACGTTTTTAACATATTCTAAGTCTAGTTACATATATTTTTAAGCACATAAGATTACAACAAACAAACCACAAACAAATAGTAAGGTAGCAAAGTAACTTACAAAAATATTAATTTGAGAAAAATTTTGTTGGCTTCAAAAGTCAATAAAATTTTACAATTAGCGTACTACTTAAATAATAGACGACGTAACTTTCTGGGATTGCCAGTAATTGTACTTAATGCATTTAGTAATTTATCGTATACAAAAGAAACAAGCAGTAAACAAAAAATCATTTCAAACCTCCGTAAAATTTATTTAAATTTCGTCACCTTTTACCTTCTATTTTTTTCTTTTTCCTTTTTCTGTTTCTGTTTTTATTTTAATTTTAATTTTTAGTTTCTAGTTTTTATTTTTATTTCTTTATGCTTTATTTTAAAATTATTTCAATTTAAAATTGACAACTTTTGGGTTTAACATCAAAAGGATTTACTGTACAACCTTGTATGTTTTTATAATTTGACATTAACATATGTACTAGCTCTATAATATGTTTGAAAAAAAAAACAATTAACCAATAAGTCTACATAAGTTCTAATTGTACTATATAGATACATACGAGCATACTGCATGCACATGCATCTATTAAGTACATGCAGCAAGAATGTATGTGCAAATTTGTATAATGCTAATGATATTTATGAAAATATTGCGTGTTTCTATTGCTAAGTTGACAGTATTTATATTTACATCTACACTTTACTATTATATAGTTAAAATATGGCGATGTGAGATCAGCAGAAATTTACACAAAAAAAAAACCAAGCGAATACATGCTTATAAAAAATTTTAAATCATTGTATTACAAAACGTGCTCATAGAAAGCATAATACAAATGCAGTATTTACGTTCATAAACATTTTCTTTATATACTCGTGAAAATCCCATTACAAATTACTACATTTAACTACAACCCATTTAAATTCAGCAGTGAACATGATAACAATCTATGTAAAACTCTTGAAACTGAACTCCAATATTGTGCAAAAAAATCTTTCTATAATGTGAAAGAAAACAAAAGTATGACTGGTGGTAGCTATAACGATGCTTTCCTTTATAAGATTATTAATCTAAGCAAAACTTTTAAAATAACAAACCAACAACACAAGAGAAGATAAAAATGAAAAACAAATTATCAACTAAATTCTCAAGCTGATAACGACAAAAATACAGCAAATAAATTCTTCTAAAAAAGTCTATTACTTTCCGAAAACAAAAAAAAAAACAGTGAACTGCTTTTATTGAAGGTATGCATGTATGTATGAACATAGCGAAGCAGTTTTAGAAAATGGTTCAACTACCTCGTTCGAGTATTAAAAATTGGTAAGTAATTAATATTTATTAACACCCAGGTCGCTTATCTCGTCCGGCAATCCGCCCTTATGTCTCAGCTGAAGCTTCTGTACTAGTGAATGAGCATGACCATTGTTGAGATTTCCTTTTTAGTGATCTCAATTCGGGGATTCGTCATCAAACACAAGCTGTAAAGGCGGGAAGAGCACCGTAAGACCTGTAACTCCACCTCTGCTGAGGGTAAGTTTTGGTCAAGCGCGACGATAGAGTGGAAATTTCGGCGCGCAGGTCATATTCAGCCTCATTGCGTAAGTCGTAAATTAGGCTGAATTGTACGACTCGACAACATTAGCATTGTCTACTGTCTAAGTAAAGGACGAAAATTGTCGAAAACTATGCAGTGCTGCCAAGTTCTTCCGTTTTAATACACTAGTCGAGTGGAAATTTTAGGCAATGACGCTAAATTTTCGATACGATTCGACTCTCGAAAAACGACTTGCATT